GGTAGGAGATGGAGGTGCGGCTTGAGGTGGGAGGAGGGGATAGGTGGGAGGAAGAACAGGTTAGGGAGGCAGGGACGAGCTGGACTGGTTTTGGGATGCGGTGGGGGGAGGGGAGATTTTGAAACTTGTGAAATCCAAACGTCAGCCTCTCTGCTCCTATGATGCTGCTTGGCCTGCTGTGTTCATCCAGCCCTGCACCTTGTTGTCTCGGATTCTTCAGCATCTGCAGTTCCTACTATCTTGGATAATAGGTGACAGGTTTAGATAGAGGATCTGGATCAGCGCAGGCTTGGAGGGCCGAAGGGCCTGTTCCTGTGCTGTAATTTTCTTTGTTCTTTGCTCTTTGTTCTTTATATGTCATTGGACTTGGATTTGACAATATCCAGTAATAAATCTAGAGGAATATCTTTGTCTCAGTGGGATTTGAAAGTAGGCTAAGAGCATTTAGAACAGGTATCTGTGAACCTGGTTTGCCATATAATTTGAAATCATGCCCTTGCAACTTCACAAGTAGATGTTGTCATTGTGGAGGTTGCATTCTTGAAAGGTTTCTGACAGGTAATTTCCAACACTTTATGATCTTTATGACCAATGAAATAATTACCAAATAGATATGTGTGAAATTATTCTAATCTGAAAACTATAGTGATAGTTTCCCTTTCTATTTGGAGTAATTTGCCTGAGCTATCATGTAGACTTTAGAACTAAATGCAATGGTCTTGTCATCCCATAAGAGACATGATCTGAGGCCTTACTGAGATGTAACTACTTCCAATGTGGTAAACTTGGAGGGTTCATTATATTAAAGAATATATTTGCTAGAAGATTTTGAGCAATTGAAAGATCATACCTATGGTCATACTGCCATAGATATGGTGTCTCAGGTGAGATACTTCCATTCCAACATTTGGAAGAGATGGAAATTAAATATGGAAGAAACCAGAACACTTTTGTCAATTACCATTGTTCTGTGATGTAGTCATTTTTTGCACATGTGTTCTGGTAGGATCGTGTCTAATAATATTTGAAGGGTGTGTTGATGCTAATCCCAAAAAATTGCTATGGCTTATGTCAATTTGAAGTTTTGTTGCTGTTGAAAAATAAGCCTTACTTTCCTGCTAAATTCATGAGCTGAAGGTGGTTTGTGGCATGCTAATGTACAGTTTTCCTGAGAGCTGCAATGTGATTTGCAAGGGACAACCTGGTAGATTCACAATGATGTGATCTACTTGCGGGTTGTGATATTTTCTGACTAATGGATACTCCAAATGGTGATCTAAGAAAACAGTTTCATCTGAAGGTTATCAAAAATGTCAGGTTTCTGTGAATCTGGGAAAAGATACATGGATTAATAACCATTCTTAGAATCAGACTTGGATATACACTTTATGCCTGACAACTTGGAACAAATCTCTTCCAGAGTAGGAATCTTGTGTGGACATCTTTTTAGTGCATTGTACAGTGGGTGTGGATCTAAACCTACACAGAGAGTTTGAATGTATGTATACACAGTTCAACCCAGAAAAGTGTGAGGTAATGCACTTAGGGAGGACAAACAAGGCAAGAGATTTTAATATGGCTGAGTCAGAAACTTTCACAACATTAAGCAACATTTAGATGTGCACTTTTGCTACCAGACCCTCTGTGACTATGGTTCAAAGCTGGAAAATGGGATTAGTACAATCAGATCTTTGTAGACTTGTGCAGACATGATGGACTGAATGATCTCCGTCTGTGAGTGCCATCTTTCTCCAAAACTCAAGTAATACAGCTACACAATCAGTGTGATGCTCAACTTTACAAATGATGTTATTTTTAACCCTGGAATCCAGTTCCAACCTGAGCTTATCCTGAATGTCAGTGCTGCACTTATGAGGAAGGTCAAAGTTGGGTGTACATCATCATCTTTCTGAGCTAATGCTATACTGCCTTTACAGTTACTGATAGAATCAAACTGGTCTGGGTAGACATTTGTCAGGTCTTGAGGTAGTTGCGATGCTGTGGTCTGGAATCTTTGGTTTGGAATTGTTTCCCTTGTCAGTCATGATGACACGTAGATCTGGGCATGCTGGTAAAGCAATGCCAAAAGGTTCTGCAATATCGACAATATGAAAGGGTCCAGGAGAAGCTGCACTGGCACTTAAAATAGAAATTGCTAATGCATGGGATGTCAGATCCATTGTAAGGAGTTAGCTTCTCATGAGTGGACTGTACCACACTGTGCTAATTTCTTGAGTACATCTTGTGACGGTCGCTTAAAGGGATGATATTGGTTCTTGCACAAGTGCCATTCGTGTAATACAGTGGATGATGTCCATTTCTTTGAGGGTACATCACTTGGATGAAGGCTTAAATATTTCTGATGGAACCTATATGGTATGTTGAGTTGAGAACATGTACTATCTGACTGGCTTCTGTAACGTGACGTAGCACTTAGATCCAGGACTTTGTTGACATCATTGGGTGCCTTCAGTAGAAGCTTAGAACTTTTGTTGGCATTGTCCCTTGGTTGGCTTTTATTCACCTGCTGCTATGCAGCCTTGTGTTGCATGTTGTGTTTCTCCAAGCACTTGGAATTCTTGCACATTTTAGCCCAATGTTCCTCTGTGGAACATAGATTTTATATGTTGCAAAATGGTAAATAATGATTTAGTGGATGAGATGATCCCCATTTCACACATAACTTGGACATTTTACTGTACTTGTTGATGGCTGCAATAATTATTGCAACGTTAAGTAATTGTAGATGCTGCTGACCTCCTACAATTGCTTCAAAATTACACCAATGTGGCAATGGGATAAAGAAATGTCTTCACTCAGATGACTGGTGAACCTGTGGAATTCTCTTACCATAGAAAGCTGTGGATGCTAGACACTAAATATATTTGAGAAAAAAATATAGATAGATCTCTAGATGCTGAAGGTGTAAAGGGATATGGAGACAAAGCAGGAGTACGGTGTTGATATGGAGAATCAGCGGTGATCATATTATGGGCAAATGGACTACTCCTGCTCCAGTTTGCTACATTCCCACGCTGCAGTGTCAGTGATGTAGTTTGTTTCAGAAAATAAATCGCAAACCTCTCTTAATAATCCTTAACTGATAGCAGTGTTGACAGCAGAAAGATACATGGTGTGAACATCTGTCTACCCAGTGACCATTTTCACAGTTCCACTGTTTTGATGCATCTCAAATAAGAAAATGGAGACTTCTATTTGGTTATTACTTTTTACGCACCTTAATAAAAACAATGGCCCTTTGATCATTACTTAAATCTGGAAACAATATCAACATGAACAGACAGCACATACAATAGGTCAGAATTGACTCTCTCTGACCCACAATATAATCAAAGTTGTCAAACAAAGGAACCCCAACAAAACTGGTAAAGTATATTGAACTGTGCAGTTTCACTCCATTGGAGATTGGGACATTTTGTTGCTTGGCCACATGATGCTAGAAATTTAATGCACATTATACTGATTTTAATGTTTAACTGCAGGATGCTTTATGCTTCTAAGTTGAATAAACTGTTTGATTTCACTTTATTCACCTTACAGATGAGCCTTGCCTGCGAGATAAGTCTATATTCTGCCAGATGGAAGTGCTAGCTCGCTATTGCTCCATTCCAGGTTATAACAAACTCTGCTGTGAATCCTGTAGCAAGCGCAGTAGCACCCTGCCTCCTCCCTTCCTCCCTGGTGCTGCTGAAAGAAACGATGAAATGGCAGAAGCTGACCACAACATGACACCAACTCATCCTCCTGACTCCACTTCCAGGACCAGAAGTTCGCAAAGCAGCAGGTTAGCCAGAGAAAAGAATACCAAGCCCAGTGCAGTCACTCCAGGACGTGGCAAAACAAAAGGAATAAATTCCTCCCAGAAAAAGATGCCTGCAGCTGGTAGGCCTCACAGATTGGTGGCTTCACAGTATCAGCCTCATTTAATTCAAGACAATCCCATTGCAACCAGCAACAGCTCCACAGCCAGCCATGCATCAGTTGGAGTGGCAGAGGCATCAGAAAGACATGCTGCATTACAATCTCCTGAGGCAGAGACATGAAGTAGGATTCTTATATCAGATACATCTGAGGAAAAAAGCAACCATTCAAAAAGAATCAGTTGTAGACATCACGGTGCATGTATGATTTGAAAATGACTTTCTGCATTTTCACTGAACCTAAACTGTCAATTTTTTCTTGAAAAGGAACACGTTCAAGTCGTAAAGTGCTGGCACTTTGCTCTATTGGCCAAATCCAATTTCTTTTGGGATCATTTAAACAAAGACCAAAGATTTTTCCAATGAAGAGGGGATATCCAGGTTTTCTGGTGTTGCCTTTGTAAAGGATTATGACTACATTTTACATATCATCTGATGTTAAAAAAATCAAAGTAAGAAATCAAATTGCGATGCTCAATTTCTTTGAGTTTACAGTGTTGAGTTGGTACAAATAGTATTCCGTCAAGTGTCAGTGAATTAGATATTATTTAAGGCATTTGCAGCTGTTCTGTAAATACTGTATATGTAAGTCAGTATTATATTTTAATATACAAGTTGTTTTGTGAGATATTGTTTACCAATGTTACATAACCATTTCTAAATCTCAGTGTATATCTGATGTTGAAAACTGTCTCAATACATTTCATAATCTGCAATGAAGGGTAACAGATATAACGATGGATCAGACAAGAATTACTGGTCCCTTTAAATTTTAACTTGGCAGTAATTACATGCAGATCTCCAATCCTTTTGGTGCTAGTCAAAATAAATTACATGTCTAAAATAAGTGTTGATAAGTGCGGGTCAGTATGCACCCATGCAAAGAAAGGCCTGTACGATATTCTGTTGAATGCTTACATTCAAAAGGGGATATCTGATTAATTTCTTTCTAGGAAGCAATGGATCTGCTGGACCTTTCCAGAATTTTCTGTTTTCGTCTATCTTGTTATGTAGATTTAAATTCTCTTCTAAGATCGACAGTTTGTAGCCAGTTATTTATGCAGTTACATAGAAACATAGCAGATAGGAACAGGAGTAGGCCAGCCGACTCTTCCACCCTGCCCCACCATTCAACATAAACATGGCTTATCATCGAATTCAATATCCTAATCCTGCCCTTCCCCAAAATTCCTTGATCCCTTTAGCCTATATCTACTTCCTTCTTGAAAACACATATTGTTTTGGCCTCAAACACTTTCTGTGGTAGTAAATTTCACAAGCTCACCACACTCTGGGTGAAGAAATTTCTCTTCACCTAAGTCCTAAAAGGTTTATCTTTTTCCCTTAACTGTGACCCCTGGTCCTGGACTCCCCAACCATCAAGAACATCTTTGATGCATCTAACCTGATAAAATACCTGTTCAAATTGTATAGGTTTCTCTGATATCCCACCTGCCCACCTTGTTCTAACTGCCAGTGAATATAATTCTAACTGACTCAATCTCTCCTCATACATCAGTGCTGCCATCCCAAGAATCAATTTGTTAAACTTTCACTGCACTGCATGTATAGCATGAACATCCTTCGTCAGATAAGGAAACTAAAACTGCTTACAATATTCCAGATGTGGTCTCACAATGCCCTGTATAATTGCAGCAAGACATTCTTGTTCTTGCACTCAAGTCCTCTCGCTATGAAGGTCAACATACATAGGATATGGAATTGTACAGAACAGGAATGGGACCTTGGGCCCACAATGTTGTGGTGAACATGAAGCCAAATTAAACTAATCCCTTCTGCCTGCCCTTGGCCCATATCCCTCGACTGCTTTCATATTCATGTGTTTATCTAAAAGTCTCTTAAAAGCCCCTATCGTATCTACCTCCACCACCATCCCTGGCAGCGCATTCCAGACTCCTACCACTCTCTGTGTAAAATAACATGCCCCTCACATCTCCATTGAACTTTCCACCTCTCAGTTTAATTCATTTCAATTTCAAATCTGGGAAAAAGATTCTGACCATCAACTCTATGCATCTCATAATTTTATAGACTCCTATCAAGTCTCCCCTCAGCCTCCACCGCTCCAGAGAAAACAACCCAAGTTTTTCTAGACTCTCTTAATAGTTCATAGCCTCTAATCCAGGCAGAATTCTGGTAAGCCTCTTCTGCTTTTTCCCCAAAGTCTCCGCATCCTTCCTGTAATGTGGCAACTTGTATTGAATGCAGCTTGCCTTCTTCACTGCCTGCTGTACCTGAGCACTTTCATTCAGCGACTGGTGCACAATGACACCCAGGTCTTTTTGAAAATTCCCCTCTCTCAATTTATAGCCATTCAAATAATAATCTGCCTTCCTATTTTTGCTACCAAAGCAGACAACTTCACATTTATCCACATTATGTTGCAAGTGCCATGTATTTGCCTAGTGACTCAGCTTGTCCAAATCACATTGAAACATCTCTGTATCCTCCTCAAAGCTCACCCTACCACCCAGCTGCAAATCTGCAAATTTTGAAATATTACATTTAGTTCCCTCATCTAAATCATTAACCTATATTGTGAATAGCTAAGATCCTAGTTCCAATCACTGTAGTACCCCATGAATCACCCATTTATTCCTACTATTTGTTGCCTGTCTGCTAACCAATTTTCTATCCATCTCAAAACACTACTCCAACCCAATGCACTTTCATTTTGCATTAATTTCTTATGTGGGATTTTGCCGAAAATCTTCTGAAAGTCCAAATGCTACACCTCCACTGTCTCCTCCAATCAACTCTATTATTTACATCATCAAAGAATTCCAGTAAATTTGTCAAGCAAGATGTCCCTTTTGTAAATTCATGCTGATTGTGTCTGATTTGGCCACTGTTTTCTAAATGCTCTGCTGTAAAATCCTTGACAACAGACTCTAGTTATATATTTTAAATGTAAAATGCAACTCCATCTTCATTCTGAGCCAACATATTCCAGGGTCTAATTTCTTTAACAAAAACAGAAATTGCTGGAGAAACTCTGCAAGTCAGGCAACATCTATGGAGAGAAAGCAGAGTTAACATTTCGAGTCCTGTGACCCCTCTTCAGAACTTTGTTTAACCTCACTTTTGCCCACATTGATGGCATTAGCAGCAGATGTGTTGAAAAAGTAACCTTTTTCAATCTTTTTTTCATCCATGTGTCATTCAGTCCTGGGCATTATGATGTTCTGATATTATGTATGTACAAAGTACAACATCAGGATCTAGAAATTTGACCAGCCAATTAAATAGCCTTACCTGAATGGATATCAGTGATTCACTCAATTCCCATTCAAAAAAAAAATGAGCCATTGACAATCTCCATCAACCTACAGGAGATACAATATAAACTGAAGTACTACAGTGGTTATGAACTAATTTTCCTCCACCACAAAAATGTTGCTGTAACATGCAAAATAGAATAGGATTTTTCTGTGACAATTGGTGAGCAACATTATTACTTACTTAGAAGCATACAAGAGGACGGAACTGTTTTTTTAAAATGGTGAACTGGTAGCATCAAATTAAAAGTATTGTAAAGGAAAAACAGGACCAGAAGATAATGAAGTGACCTGATCAAAAAGGGGATAGTTAGGATAGGAGATTTGGATGCACATAGTGGTACACTATGGAAGAATGTTTGCTATTGTCCTGTGTGTAGTCAAGTAGGGTCCAGTCAACTCTGTGCCTTTGAAGAATTGCTGCTAGTTTCTTGCCAGGCTTCTGAAGGTAATGAATCTAGTGTTTAATTTGTAAAATGACAACCCTGAGCTTCACACAGTTGCATAGAATTTATTTAAGAATCTCTCTTTTACCCTATAAATGGAAAGAATATGATTTATTTGCCTTATTTGCTTTTTTTTGTACAATAATATAGGTGCCTGTTTTATTCTGACCGTACACTACTGATGCTGTTTGTTGTATTGGGGAGCACATAGCAATAAAAATAACAACCCAGTTAATGTCCTTTGAAGTTTTTTGAATTTGTGTTGTTGATTGTGGTCATGCCATTTAATTTTCCTACCCCTTTCTTCACTGCTGATCTGCCTGGTGACTTTCTCATGCTCCTTGGTGTCTCTCAACGAAATCTTCCCAGCTCCCATTGACTTTTAGTGGCCCCCATTGATTTTTAGTGGACACATGAGGTCACTGCGTAAGGTCACATACAGCAGTTTGTAATCATAGGTGTGTTTCACCCATGCTGCACAACAGTGGACCCACTCCTTCACAGAATGAAATGCTTAATCTGCCCCCTTTCAGTGTTGCAGCATTTGTTTTAACTTCTACTGTGCACTTGCTATTTGGATGCGGCTGCAAGGAACTGCAGATTGTGTTTCCTGGAGAGCATCACTGACTCAGCCACTCTACCTGTATTACCCAACAAAACTCTCAGTATTGGTCTGGGCGGCAGGGGTTGGGTGATGGGGAGGGGTGTGGGGGAGCGGAGAGGTGTCCTGTGTGAGTAAGCAGGTAGAGGCCACTGAGGGTTAGTAGTTTAGATGCTTAGGGGTGGGTGAGAGCAAGTGAGAGAAGACATTGCATGTAACAGTGGGAATGGTAGACCATTGGTGGGAGGTGGGTGCAGTGCCAGAGTTAGAGTGAGTGTGAGGTTATGGAGTGAAGATGGTTGCCCTTACTCTTGCAAACCTTCTTCCAGCACTGCTGGCCGCTCCTTTGGATCTTGGAAGCAGCACTGGCCTGGGTGATAGTGGCTTCCTTTGTCAGTCTTGAGCAAAGAGGGTGGCCATTCGTAGCACCACCCCATCCACAAGGACCTCCAGATCTGAGTTGGCAAGTGGTGGGGCTAACTCGCCTCTGTCCATCATCTCCAGGGCAAATCACAGGAACCGTGCAGTGGAACTCCTGACTGACCATGCTTGACTTGTGAACATCTGCATTTTAAGCATGTGGCACCAGGAACAACACAAGGCCCTGCGAGTAGTGAATACTTCTGTTGCCAGTGAGTAAACAATATGTGAGGGTGCACCTTGGAGAAATAGCTAATGAGGTTAGCTACAGGGGATAGCATGAGAAAATATGCCAAGGCTCATTAAGGTAAACGTTCTATGAAAGTCACCAAGATTTGCATTTAGACCATTTCTGGTAAAATTCAGCTTTCTGACTCCAAGGCATTTCAAGTTCTCAGTAGGGTCATTTGTTGATCATATTTAAAATCCTTAATAAGTCACAACATTTTATTTCAAAAGACTACACCAAATGAACCTTGGAGGTAATGTGGTATAGAGGTACATTGCTACCTCTGTGTTAGGAGCTCCTGGATCAAACTCCATACTAGAATTAATTGGCCTGAGAAGCAATATTTCATGCTACTATTCAACAGACCCATAATGAAACAAACCCCAAAGGGAAAACAAAAATGTTTGTGTGGATATAGACTAAATACACTTGACCTAAATGACTTTACTTTGATTGCATTTACTGTTATACCAATTGCAGTACTGTGATAAGGATGTTCAGTTATTAGTTAATAGTAGCTCCTGATGGATTTTTTTCCCCAAATAAAGAACTACTAGCATATGGCAGTGGTATGTAAAGTCAACTATCGGCCATTTCTCACTAATAGTGCTCTTGTCTGAGTCAGAATTTAATGTGTTGAAGTCCTACTCCAACAATTCAAGCCTGAATCTGAGCTGATAGCTCAGATGTCACATTTCTGATGCAGTAATAAGCTTGTTAAAATCTTTCTATTATCTCCCTTCTGTAAAGAGAAAAAAAAGTGCATAAAGTCTCTTGTATGAGAAGCACTTCAACTCTGATACCATTCTAATAAACGTCCATTCTACTAGTGTCCTTCAGGGAAGGACGCTGCCATCCTTACCTGGTCTGGCCTACATGTGACTCCAGACCCACAGCAATGTGGTTGACTCATAACAGCCTCTGGGCAATTAGGGATGGGCAATAAATGCTGCCTAGCCAGCGATGCCCACATCCTGTGAACGAGTAAAGGAATAAATCTCATCCACACCCTCTCCAAGTCCTTCATAAAGTGTAGAGCCCAAACTTGACACAACAATCCAGCTAAGGCCTGACTAGTATTTTATAAATGTTTCTCATAGCTTGTTGCTTGGTATGCCATGGACCTATCCATTCATAAAGAAATCATACCAAGCCAATATATCTGAGGGCAACAAAGAGCAGTATAGAACCATCTGGTTTCCTGTTGATCTAACTTTTTTTGTAAGGGTTTAAGTACCTGAAGGAAGAGATTGCATTTTCTTTAAAATAAAGAATTAGATATTTTAAGGTTTAAATGAATTGAATGGTCTTTTATCAGAGTGTAATGTAGCAAAATGTGTGTAGGAACACATAACTTTATTTCATTTCACCATGGCTCCTGAGGTTTATCTATGGTGAATAATGGATGAATTGGCATGGAGAGTAAAATTACAGGGTGTAGGCAGTGGGAGGCATGGGTTGGCAATAAGCTGGCACAGGAGCTGTAGAGGGTCATGGGATTGTTAGGGGGTCATGAGCTGACACTTATTTGACATAGAGACTGTAAAGAGCCATGGGGATGATAGCAGAGGGATCATACCCAGGCATAACTCACATTCAGTTGGTGTGGGTTTACAAAGGGCCAAGGGGGTGGATAGTGGACATAACTTGGCCTGGAAAGTATAAGAGACAAAGGTGCAGAGGCTACCATGGAAAATATGAGGGGCCATTGAGGTGGGCCGAGGAACATTGTTTGGCATAGAGGTTATAAGGGACTGTGGCTTGTGGTCAGAGGGGCATGGATTGGAATCAAAGATATGTGGGCTGTGTGAGATATGGGGTGAAATGATTTATCATGAGTTGGAAGGGTGGGAGTGTGTGGGCTGTGTAAGGATGACAGCTAGACAAACTTTGAGTTTTTGTTCCCCCAAGTTTGGACTGTGGGATCAACTCCAGATCTGGGAGTAAACATTCAGCCTGATGTCCCAGCAGGTATGTGCACATGCCGTCTCATCAGCTCCCTCTAATTCCTCACTGTTCGGGAATGACCTGCTGGGATAGCTACCCATGGTCAGGTCATGCAGTTTTCAGCACAGAACCTTCCTCACTCTCAAGACGCACTTTAGGATCTATGATTAAGATTCATATGATTTCTGGTGACAAGCAGCAATTATTTGAAATTCGCACGTCAAAAGTAAAAAGTAGGCATTGAATTTAAAGCTTTCCAAGAGGGAAATACCAGTAAAAAAAAATCAGTAATTCTTGAAAATTGACATATTTATCATTTTGAACATCCATTTTGAAGTATATATTAGAAAAGATTGGACCAGTGTTTCTCATTTACTAGTAGTACTGGCTTTTTCTTTCAGGGCTCCTCTTTGATAACATTCCATAATAACCTCATCACCCTTCTCTTTAATAAAGGCAAAATACTGCAGATGGTGGAAATCTGAAACAAACACAGAAAATGCTGGAGAAATTCAGCAGGTCTGGAAGCATCTGTGAAGAGAGGAAACAGAGTTACTGTTTCAAGTCCAGTATGACTTCTTCAGAACTGTTATGCATTATTTAAAATATACTTATGAGGCACAGTTTATTCAGCTGATGAATGAGCATTCATCACACATGGAGACTTAGTATGCAATTATACATCTCATGTCACCTATTTATTTAGTGAGGGCATGGAGGAATGGAGCTGTCATTGTGCACTTTGAGAAATGCGATGCTGCATTTGCAAAGTCCTTTGCTTTTTATGATACAACACTCTGTGGAGTACCACTAGATTCTTCCATTAGTTCCAAAATATTTGCAATATTCTAATTTCTGCTGGCTTGCAATATTCAAACTGAGATAGTCTAATCACAATCCAGGCAATTAAAGAAATTAAAAATTAAGCTGTTTACTCTGCTTATAGTGTATGTCTATCTATCTGTCATTTTTTTGTTGACCTTCTCTCCAAACTGCAAACTTTTCTAGCAAACACCCAGATAAATTGAAATCCAAGCATCTCCACAAGTCCAAGCTGCTCCATAATGAGGTAACATGTCCTAGACTGTCCTCAAACCAATGTTTAGTTTAATAATCCTTTATTTACAAGTTTATCTGATGGATTTAAGGAGTGTTTCAGGATTTCTTGAATGCTTTGGAATAAGTTAACTCCAATTCTCAAAGCAAAAACATCTTTCTTAACTGCAATTAGTACAAGGACTTCAGACAATACATCCCGAGCTCTTTAGCTAAATAAACTCATCTGCGGATTATAGCTTTTATGTTTCTAGCTGTTAGTCTCTTAGGGCAACATGGTCACAACCTTTTAAATGCATTTATCCCATTATCCACAGTTAAACTTCTATTCCTAAATCTAAAAATACATGAACCAGATATTTACAATATTACTGAAGTCAATCCATTAAGCTCGTGTCTCTGCGTGAGTTGCTTTATTTCAGCTCTGAGCTTTTTGAAAAGTTCAGCTAAACCATTAGTTCTTGGGATATGAAAGACAGGTATGGCCCATTTACAATGATTGTCAATTTAAAAATGGCTTGTATAGTCTGGTACTCTACCCTTAAATTTCAACCGACTTTTAAGTTAACTCGCTTCCTACCTAGGGAATGGCAACAGTAATATCTGTTCAGCTGGTTTAGCAAGTTTCAAGTTATTTTCTACAATGTGGCACAGCTGATAGCACTTGATGTAATAACCTCAGTCTGCAGAAGCACTTCTTTAGAAAGGTCAAGCAGACTAAGGCTCTACATGTACACCCAACAATCAGGGTAATGCATCTTGTGCTGTCAACCCTTTTCTTGTCTAAATGCTGGTTCTGCTGTGGTATGTCATCACTACTGTGTATAGTGATAGTCTTTCTCTGCTGATGTGCTGTCAAACAGACTCAATTTGCCTCCCAACATAATCTTGTCAATTTGAAAGTCCCAAAAGGATAAAAAAAATCTCTATCTGCACCAGAAGTGTCTGAGAACTGTTACACTGGCTGCAATAATTGA